TAGATAGATAGATAGATAGATAGATAGATAGATAGATAGATAGATAGATAGATAGATAGATAGATAGATAGATAGATAGATAGATAGATAGGGGTCACAGTAAGGGCTTCTCTGCGGATGAATGCAATGCTCCTTTGGGTGGAAATGGTTTCTAAGCCCATTTGAAGTCCTTCTTCCAGGTCAAATGGATGGATGGAAAGAAGTTCTCAGTCGGTGGAGAAATGCAGAAATACATTTTCACATCCTTTTTCAGGATTGCCGTCCTTTTCCTTTCCTCTTCTCAATTTGACGAGAGACCTTCTTCCCCCCCATCCCCTCTTTCCCTTAAAAAAAAACAAAAAAACACCACGAAGCTTTTCAGGGTCTCTTTTGCCTTGTCAGAAAACTCTTAAGCACAGATTGCTGTTTTTTCCCCCTTAGGGCGGAAGGCAACTGGAGGCTGAACAGTCCTATAAATACGCTGTCAAGGTTGGTCACATTTTTCTTCCCCCCTTGCTCAAGCTTATCAGATCTCTGGAAGGGTGCAAATCTCTGAGGCTTTTCCCAGTACTGGGAGTCCTCAACTTACAACAGTTTGCTTAGTGACCCTTGGAAGTTATAACGTCATTGAAAAAAATGACTTATGAGTGTTTATCACACAGCCGCATCCCCACGGTCACCTGATCAAAATTCAAGCGCTTGGCAACCGATTCGTATTTATGACGGTTGCAGCATCCGAGGGGTTCCAGTGGCCAATATTTCTGTGGTTAAGTATGACCTGTAGGAAGTGACCTTGGCCCCGTTTTACGACTTTCCTTGCCACAGTTGTTAAGCGAATCGTTGCCGTCGATGTTGGTAACCTGGTTGTTGAGGGAATCTGCCTTCCCCGTGCACTTGGCTTCCCAGAAGGTCACAAAAAGGGATTCACCTGACCCCCAAAAACACTGCGACCGTCATAAATGTGATCCAGTCACCAAGCACCTGAATCTTGACCACATAATCACTGAAGATGCTGCAAAGGTCATAACTCTAAAAAACGGTCATAAGTCACTTTTTTCAGTGCTATTGCAATGTTGAACGTTCACTTTTGTACACATTTTTTTGTTGTTGTCTTTGTTACTGTTAGATATATTGTTGATAACACTATATCTATATATATCTATATATCATGTCATATCTATCTATCTATCATCTATCTATCTATGCATCTGTCTATGTATGTATCTGTCTATGTATGTATCTATCTGGCTATGTATGTATCTATCTGGCTATGTAGCTATCTATNGTCTGTAAATATTTTCACACGCCTCTTTTTGACTCATGCAGTATACAGGTCCTCAATGCAAGGCAGGTTGATAGCCATTGTTTTTCCTGAAGTTCTAATTCTCCTCTGAAGTCTCTGTCTGTCTTGTTGGGTTGCAGAACCAAACCAGGCAATTATGGAGGTGCAGATGACAGACTCAATAATTCCTCTGTAGAACTGAATCAGCAGCTCCTCCGGCAGTTTGAGCTTTCTGAGTTTTAGAGGAATGTGATGGTTGTGTATTGGCCCAAAATAGCAGATGATTCAGTGTTGGCTGTCTATTGTGGACACTACACTATTACTGGAGGGTAAATAAGAAATTGTTGCAACCAATTAGCTAATTAATTGCTAGTGCTGTTAGTACCAATATACACTGTAAATATAATGACCACTTTATTATGTTGAGAATTTGAATTGGATTTGTTGAGTTTTGGGTTTACTCTGAGGCTTGCTAGTGTTCAAGTTGAGGTCTTGCTGTTTTGCGCAATCTGGACAGTAGACTAAGAATCAATTGTTTCCCATTAAAATAATGTTATGATCATTTTAATAATCATAACAATTTGCTTAAACCAGTTTCTCCCCCCCCCCAAAAAAAAAAACCTACTCGGGCAGTTTGGGTTGGGTTGGTTTATTGTCATTGCACATTGTATAAAGAAATTAAATGCCATGTTCAGTTTACAAGTATAAAAATTAAAACACAAACATCCATCCTTCACATGCTATACAATTGAAATTGAAAACCCGATATTGCATTACGATTGCACTATACCATAGGATTCAAGAAGAAAGAAGCAAAAAAAAAATTGTTCTTCTCCCATTAGGGAGAAAATACATTCCAGCCATTGGTCAAAGCTAATTTCATGCTTAATCCTCCCGTAATGCTTCCTTTCGCCTCTGAGTTTGGGATCTTGTTTTTTCTCATAGCCAAGACAGGTTCTTTCACACCATCCTGTATTCTGTAATGATTTTCACGAGTTTTATGAGCCTTCTCTAACCGCCTGCCTGGAGCAAGTCATGTTCAAACAGCTGCTAATAACCTCTTTCCGTCTGGAGAACTATAGGTTGCTTTTGTCAAGCAAGGAGAAACGGTCCTAAATTGCCGTAGCCTGGGGAGTAATTCTCTCTCCCTTTTCTTTTGGCAGTATGACAAAGCCAAGCACATTTACCTTTTGGCGAGTAAGAAATCACCTTCTTGTCTCACCTGGCTGGGAGTCGGAATTGCCTGCTACAGGGTAAGAGATGGAGCCCTTTTGGCCTTCCGATTTGTAGAACATCCAATACTAGATTGGAAAAGACCTTGATTGGATCTAGCCCAACCCCTCTCTCTCGAGCAGGAGTCCCTATATCATTTCAGGCAAATGGTTGTCCAGTCTCTTCTTGAAAACTTCCAGCGTTGGCACATTCAAATGTCTGGAGGCAAGTTGTTCCACTGATTGTTCTCACTGTCAGGAAATCTGCCTATCCCAGGTGCTTGGGAAGGACTCAATAGGTGAATGAAAATGCCAGATCCAATCTAACGCCTGGCTGAATGTGTGAGTAATAATAATTGTGTAAAGGAAGAAATGAAAGAGAGCTTTCATTAAATGACATGCGTCTACCGCAAAGGTTTCTCTCCTCAGTGAAAGCTACCTAGAAGTGGATGGGTTCTTTTATTCTCACTGTCAGGAAATTCCTCCTTATTTCCAGGTTGAATCTCTCCCTTATCAGTTTCCATCCATTATTCCTTGTCTGGCCTTCGGGTGCTTTGGAAAACAGCTTGA